TTTTTTTTTTTTTTTTTGAGACAGAGTCTCTCTTTGTTGTCCAGGCTAGAGTGAGTGCTGTGGCGTCAGCCTAGCTCACAGCAACCTCAAACTCCTGGGCTCGAGTGATCCTCCTGCTTCAGCCTCCCGAGTAGCTGGGACTACAGGCATGCGCCACCATGCCCGGCTAATTTTTTCTATATATATCAGTTGGCCAATTAATTTCTTTCTATTTATAGTAGAGACGGGGTCTCGCTCTTGCTCAGGCTGGTTTTGAACTCCTGACCTCGAGCAATCCGCCCGCCTCAGCCTCCCAAGAGCTAGGATTACAGGCGTGAGCCACAGCGCCGGCCTCTCAAATGTCATTTTATATGACAAAAGGGACTTTGCAGATATAATTGGAGGATTTTAAAATTGGGATTATCCTGGATTATAGGGTAGGCACAATCTCATCACATTAGTCCTTAAAAGCAGAGAGCTTTTCTCTGGCTGGATTCAGAGAGATGCAACAGAAGGAAATGTTGGAGGTATTCAAAGTGTGAGAGGGATTCAACCTGCCATTTTGGTGGGGGCCACGTGGAAAGAATAAGAAGGACTATGAGCAGCTTCTAGGAGAAAAGTCTAGTCCTCAGCTGACAGTAAGAAAATGGGGTCTTCGGTCCTACAACTGAAAAGAACTTAATTCAGCCAAGAACCCAGATGAGCTTGGAAGCAAATTTTTCTCCAGAGGCTCCAGTGAAACATGCACTTGGTTTTGGCCTTATGAAACAGCTTGATTTTGACCTTGTGAGACTCTAGGCATAGGACTCAGTCAAGTCCAATCAGACTTTTGACCTATGGAAATTGTGAGGTAACATATGGGTATTGTTTTAAGCCACTAAGTTTGTGGTCAGTTGTTATAACAAGATAAAATTAATACATTATCCAATATGAACAGGAGAGAGAAAATATATTTAAAAAATAACTGTATCAGGAATCTACGTACAATATCAAAATGTCTAAGGTGCATGTCATAAAAGACACAGAATTAGAAGAGAGTATGGGTGCAGAAAACAACAGTTAGAGAAATAATAGCAGAAAAATTCCCAAATTTTTGGAAGACACAGAATCAAGAGGCTCAGTGAAGTCCAATAATGATAAGCTGAAGAAATCCACACTCATACATCATAATCAAACTGTCAAAAACCAAAGACAAGGAGAAAACCTTGAAAGCAGCCAGAGAAAAATGAAGCATTACCTATTGGGAAAGAACAATTAGAATGACTGTGGATTTCTGATAAGAAACCATGCAGGCCAGAAGGCAGTGGAACATTTTTAAAGTGTTGAAGGAAAAAAAAAAAACAAAACCTTGTCAGTCCAGGAGGCTATGCCAGTTAATGAAGGAATGAAGACTTAGGAATGAAGACAAAGTAAAGAAATTCTTCAAATGAAGGAAAGCTGAGATTATTCATTGCCAACAGAGGTCCTCTAAAAAATTGTTAAAGGAAATTCTTCAGATAAAAGAGAAACTGATGATACCAAAGGAAAACTTAGAATTTAAAGAATAAAGGGCCTGGGCTTGGTGACTTATGCCTGTTATCCTGGTACTTTGGGAGGCTGAGGTGAGATCTCTTGAGCACAGGAATTTGAGACCAATCTGAGTAACATGGTGAGACTCCATCTCTACAGAATAAACAAAAAATTAGCCTGGCATGGTGGCATGTGCCTGTAGTCCCAGCTACTCCAGAGGCTGAAGTAGGAGGTCCCTTGAGCCCAATTCGAGGCTGCAGTGAGCTGTGATTGTCCCACTGTACCCCAGACTGGGTGACAGTGAGACTCTGTCTCTAAAAAAAATTAAATAATAAAAGAAGAACAATATACATAGTAAATATTCTCCTCTTAAGTTATTTAACATATGATAGTTAAAAGCAAAAATTATAACACTTGTAGGATTTTCAATGTATGTAGATGTACTACATATCACGAGTACAACATAAAGTAGGGAAGGGTAAAGAGAACTATTAATATATGGGTAAGGGATACTCAACCTGTACTTATGTCATTCATAAAAATAAAAATATATACATATAAGATCTGTACGTGGAAAACTAAAAACACTGATTAAAGAAATCAAAGACCTAAATCAATGGAGAGACATAACCATGTTCATGGATCAGGAGATTCCACAGGGTAAAGATGTCAATACTCCTCAAATGGTTTGATAGATTTAACGCAATTCTAATCAAAATTCCAGCAGGATTTTTGTTGTTACTAATATAGACAATTCTAAAATTTATATGGATAGGCAAAACTAGAATAATCAAAACAGTTTTTGAAAAGAAGAATAAAGTTGGAGGAATTATACCACTTGATTTTAAGACTTACTATAAAACTACAGTATTCAAGAAAGTGTGCATTGGTGAAAGGAAAGATTCATATATCAGACAGAGTAGAGAGTCCAAAAATAGACCTACACAAAGATGCAAAGGCAACTCAATGGAGACAGGATACCTTTCAACAAACAGAGTTGGAACTACCGAATATCCATATGAAAAAAATACAAGCTTCAATCTAAACCCCATGCTTTATATAAAAGGATCACAGAAATAAATGAAAAATATAAAACTTTAAAACATCAGAGAAAATCTTTGTGATCTGGTGTTAGGCAAAGAATTCTTAGACATGACTCCTAAAGACCAATCCACAAAAGAAAAACTTGATAAATTATATTTCATCAAAATTAAAAAGAAACATTTATTCTGCAAGAGATACTTTTAAGAGAAAGAAAAGACAAGCTATAGACTGGGAGAAAATGCTTACAAATTACATATTTGACAAAGGATTTGTATCCCAAATACTTAAAGAATTCTTACAATTCAACAGTGAGAAAATAACTCAATTAAAAAATATGCTAGACTTGAACAGATACTCCACCAAAGAGGAAACATGGAAAGAAATTAGGCACACAAAAAGATGTTCAACATCATTAACAAAAGAGAGATACAAATTAAAATTAAGAAAAGCTAATACCATATACCAATCAGAATGGCTAACATAAAAAAGTACTGGCAGTACTCAATATTGGTGAGGATGCAGAGAAACTGGATCTCTCATACAATGCTGGTAGGAACACAAAAAATGGTTACTCTAGAAATTTGGCAATTTTTTACAAAATCAAACATATCTTTACTACATGACCCAGCTATCCTTACTCTGAATTATATACCTTAGAGAAAGGAGAACTTACGTTCACACAAAATACATGTTTATAGTAACTTTATTTGTAATTGTCAAAAACTGGGAAGAACCAAAATAACCAAAATATCCTTTAAGAGGTGAATGTAAAACAAACTGTGGTCCATCAATACAGTGACATACTATTTAGCCTCAAAAAGCAACAGCTTCCACTGGGCTCTGGACCCCTAGTTCTGTGTCCAGTGGAGCAGTTGTGCTTTTTGTTTGTCTCATATGTTGTTTGTCTGAAAACCTCTGGATTAGAATAGCTGGTTGTGAGCCAGATCCTCAGGCACTGTGGGGGTTTGGACAATCCCAGAGTCCAGAGGCTATCGGTAGAACCCACTCATTTGTCCTTTGACACGAGCCCTGGGCATCCCAGTAGTCAGCCAGACCGGGGTGCTGGTTCTAATGCCCAGTGATTTTAAACAAGGTCTTTTAGGGGAAGCTGGAATTGTGCCGTTTGCTTCATGGCCCCTAGGTCACACCTGCATTGAACACGATGGAGGTAGGGTCTGAAAGGACTTAAGCTACTCCCCCCCCCATACAGGGTGAGTTTTTGAAGAGCACTTTAGAAACAATAAAGGGCTGTGCACATGACTATGCTGACCTGGGACCAGCAGGACCAAAGAGTACATCATTTATGACGACACCTGCTGTTTACACTAAGCACGCACCATGAGCCAGGCACTGTGCTAAGGAATCGTTGAATCTTCCTGACAACTCTGTGAGAAAAGGTCTGTCACTGTTAGGACAGATGAGGACATTGAACCTTCCAGAGGCCCCAGGTCACATGAAGAGGAGGTGGCAAGGCTGGGTTCTGGACCATTGCTCCAGCCTTCCAAGCCAAAGCCAGTGAGAGGGAACCCTGAAGGCCTAATGTCACACCTCTTTCCTCATGTGCCTTGGAGAAGGGGACTGATGCCACCTGTCATCAAAGGTTGCTGGGGGATCACTGAGCGCCCTTTGAGACCTTACCGTATACAACAGCACTCAAAATAAATGTTTTAAAAATAATTTTTACATTCAGAATGTACCTCAGAATATCTTCCCCCCCCAAAAAATAAAATAAAAAAAAATAATTTTTACAATGGAATGCTTTCTTTGAAAACTATTTTATGCATAAATCCAATCTAGAGAACCAAAGTCGGGCCACTGTGTGAAGGTAGAAGCAAGGGTGGCCCAGGAGCCCCAGGACTCTCGGACCACTGCTTGAAGGCCACTTATCCAGTAGATTGGCACTTACTGTGACATGCACACGAGGTGCGATGATGCTTAAGGCTCCGGCTCTGGCTCTGAAATAATGAGGTGGGATTGTGGCAGACTCATTCCTAGGTTAGCCAATCTAGGGCAGGGCTGCAGGATCCCAGGCCAACTATATGCACTGGGTGCTGGTCTCTTTGTCCTGGGCACCACCTGCCTCATCCTAGCCCTTGGCCATGTCACAATTAGTGAGTTTAATCTTTAAAATGTGGATTTTTTTTTATTCTTTTTTTTTTTTTTTTTTTTGTAGAGTTGAGGTCTCACTGTGTTGCCCAGGCAGATCTCAAACTCCTGGCCTCAAGTGATCCTCCCACCTGAGCCTCCCAAAGCACTGGGATTATAGGTGTGAGCCACCACACCTGGCAAAGATATGGATTATAAGGTTAAAAGCTGTAGCAACTCTTTTTTCTTGCCCTCATAAAAGGCATCATCTGTGTTTTTCTATATCAACAAAAGTAGAATGTTCAAGTTTGGATCTTGGCATGTGATCTGTACAACAGATCTGTACCTCTGTCCCCCATGCAGGGGCTGGCGAGATGGCTCACAGGGGAATCATGGAACGGACTTCCTTCTCATAGATGTCAGGGATCACTCCCATTGGGGAGCTAACCATGCGCACGGTGTTCTTGCCAAACAGTTGCAACTCGTAGTGGATGAGCTGCTCCCAAAAGCCACTGTTGGGCCGGATGATGGGTCGGCATGACTTGGTCCACGTGTGGGCATCTAGGAGGGACATGGCGTGGTATTTCATGAGGTAGGCCAGGCACAAGGCGGCCGAGCGGCTCACCCCAGCGGCGCAGTGCAGCAGTGTGCGGCCCTGCCTCATTTCCACACTGTGAATGTGGTCGGCGATAGGGTCAAAGAAGTCGTAGAGACTCGCGGTGGGCGTGTCGGCCACAGGCACCCGCACATACTGGATGTCCTCGTGTGAGGCGTTCGCCACTTCCACAGAGACGTTGACGACTGTGGTAATGTGGTTGCTGCACAGCAGGAGCTTGTCGTTGGCGGCCACACTGTTGCTGATATACAGGCTCCGGGTGATCTGGGACAGGCCGCTGACTGAGGGCTGCCCAGACTGAATTGGGAAGGCATACTGCGCTGCTGACATCAAGGCGGTGGGTGAGCAGTCAGCAAGGCATGAGAGCTGCAGCTTTCTGCTGGGCTGTGTCCACGGACAACTGCAGGGAAGGAGAGGATGTTCAGAGGGCAGGAGCCCAGCAGGCCAAGCCCGAGGGATTTCTGGGAAATGGGTGGATGAGCCTGTAGGATTCCCCAAGGCGGTCCTCTGACCATCACTGCAGAATTACCCAGAGAATGCACTAAAAATACAGATACGCAGGCCCCTCCCCAAACCCACTGAGCCAGACTCCCAGGTGAGGAGCAGGAATCTACATTTTCAGCATGTTTCTCAGCTGGTCTAATGTGCACTGCCCAAGGGGACAAAGGCCAGGTTCCTGAGCCTGGCACTCCAGGCCTCCCTTGAGGGGCCCCACATTTCTAGATGGGCCGGTGCCTGGTGTCCCTCAGTTATATCCTGGCCTGATTCTCCATCTAGGCTTACACAGACCTCTTGCCCCCTCTCTTCCAAATTTTCTCCTTCCTTTCAGCCCCTCTGAGTGGGAACCACTTACAGTCTTCCTTCTCAGTTTTCTGACTTTATGCCCAAATCCTGAGACTCTGAGCCAGTGACATGGAACCCTGAGCCCACTGTCACTGGAGGGACTTGGTATAAGAGTGAGCAGGGTTCCAGGTCTCCTGCTTCAGGAACCATGTCTTTGAAGAGACAAGAATGTGCCCATGTGAAACTGATGTCAAATAACAAAGCCCTAGATTGTTAAACATGCTCCTACACCTTGTCTCAGAAGAGGAGACAAGGGAAAGGGAGTGGCTGGAAGCTTCCTGGAGGTCATTATAGTGGGCACCACAGCAACCCAAGGGACAAGTGCAGAAAGGCAGCGAGGGGGGGGTGCTCAGGAAGACCAGCCACACATGCACCACCCTGCCTGCTGCAGGACTGTGGCATGCACCCCAAGGAGGGGCAGACCTCGCCTTCTCCTAAGAAATATCGGGCCCCTCACTTTCCCAATCTTGAACAAAGCTTAAATATAATAAGTCTTTATATGTCTCACTGAAATAGGGGCATTTGGACTTAGATCATACCTCTCAAGGCCAATGGCAGTCTTCACCAGGCACAGACAATGAGGCACCAGAGTTGCATTTCCCTGCTTAATGTATTTCACTGGCTGCCCACTGTCAGGACAGGATGGAGCGCCTTAGCTTAGCTCTCAAGGCCATTTGTGGCTTGGCTCCTGCCCATCTCTCCAGCCTCCTATTAGGCTTCTCCATGTCTTAAAGGTTCTCAGCTAGACTGAACCACTTACTGTTCTTTAGGGACATCCTGTCCTCTGGGGTCATGGGCCTTTGCCTCTGCTGCTGCTCTCTCAGCCCAGAGCCCCTTTTCCATGAACCTACCAGATCCTGATCTGTTCCATTGGCAGAAGTCTGAGGAGCCTTCGGATCTCAGCCCAAAGGTCACTTCCTTAAGGGAAACCTCCTGGGAGCATACCCCTTCCGCATGTGTGATCAATTCCCTGCTCTAGGCTTTCCTAGCTCTACGTTCTCTCTTTCCTAACACTGAAGATGTGCTTGTGCCTTGATCTGTCTGATTATTTGATTAGTGTCTGTCTCCCAGGACACCGTGAGCCCTTTAGGCATGTGACGGTATCTATCTTTACTCCAGTCTATCACCCATCAGTGCCAAGCTCCTTGTCCCCACAAGTAGGTGCTTGATAAATACTTGTCGAATGACTCTAATAACTATGACTCTAATTTCTAACTGAGAGGTGTTCTGAAAAGGATGAGATCTCTGGCTAAGTTTCTCTAAAATTTCAGGGAGAGGCTGGGTTGGGGTGGGGCTGCTTCCTAGGCTGCTTGGAGAGAAGGACAAAAACTGCATAGGCAAATCCTATCTGCCAATGCCCCAGGGTCAAGTGCTTCAGGTTCATCCCAGGGAAGGCAGATGGGCCTGGTTCGTTTTAAAGGTGATATTGTAAGGCAAGGAAAAAGCCTCCAAAACCCAGGTGGAAGCCTAAATGCTAAGGAATGTTCTGGATCCTCATCAGAAAATCCATAGACAAGTGGACTGAGGGCTCCCCAAACCAGTACCCTGTAAGTGACAGGAATAGAGGAATGTGCTCTTCATCATGAGACAAAAATATGCAGAAGAGACGCTGCTTTTGAGGGTGAGTGCTGGGAGGAAAGTCATTTTCATGCTAGTCAAGAAATACTTATCAGGCACTGTAGGAAGTGTTGGAGACACCGAAATGTATGAGACAGTCATATACTGTCACTTGTCTCACGGAGCTAAAGTCTAGAGGGAGAGCCAGACACTACGCAGGCAATTACAGACACAGCAGAGCTGGAAAACAGAGATATAACAGCGTCTACCTTACAAGGATGTTTGAAGATTAAATGAGATGATTCAGGTAAAGTGTGTCTCACAGACCCTGGAGTACACATCCTCTAATAAGAACTATTCTTGCTTGCTGTTGTTAGGGAAGTTAAAATGCAGGGCATTGTGGGAGTGAAAAGTAAAGAGATTAATTACAAGCCCAGGGCCAGCGAATCTGTAAAGATCGCCTGAAGAAATGACAAGAGATCTGAAGAACGTTTAGTCTCAGGGGGAGGGAGGTGGAGAAATAGCAATTCAGGGGCAGTTTCACCACTTCACAGCCTACGAATGAAGGCTTTGGCTTCCCCGCTTGGTTCGATCTTCAAAGCAACCTAATCACACAAGAGTCTAGAGTTAATACCTCCATTTTACAGAGCAAAGAGGGGCACAGAGAAAAAGGGTCTTGTTCGAGATCACAAAGCAAAGCCTGAAAGCCAGTGTTTCCGGCTCTTTACGTGCGGGGGAAAGGTCGGGAAACATCTCGGGATGTTCGTTCAATACTAGGTTATACAAGTGGAACAAAGTCCACGGGTTGACGGGAGCGAGGCGCCACTTGCGGGGGTGGCCCGGGTAGGTTTCCCGGGTAGTTGGCATCGGAACAGGCTTCTTCGCCTGCTCGGTGTCAAGACCCCACGGTCTTACCTCTCCCCGCAGGAGGGCGGGCAGGTCAGTTCAGGAAGCAGCCGCACCGGGAAGCCTCAGGCGAGGGTCTTCGCGAGAGGGTAGACCAGTCACGATCCCGGGGCCACCATCCCCGCCGGGCCAGCTCTCTCGTTCCCATGGCAATGGTCCCTTTCCGCAGGAAGGAATCGCCCGTACCAGGTCTTCGGACAAATTCTGGCCTCAGCCCCGCGCCCCGGCGCAGCTCAGCCCCAACTCATCTGGCTACCTGCCCCGCGATCACGCCGGGGCCGCGGCAGTCCTCGTGGAGCAGCCGGATCCGCTCAGCGCGCAGCTCCCAACTCTGTCCCGCCCAGCTCGTCTCCACGGCAACGGGCCGAGTCGCACCACGGTGGCCGCAGAGGGACAATCCCTCCGCTTCCGCAGCTTCCGCGGCTTGGCGCGCCCGTCTTGGCCTAGAGTCCCGCCCCCTCGCCGGTCTCCCAGACAACGCGCCGCTCTCAGGTCTAGGCGTCTGCCCCGGGACTCACTCCGCGTCCGCGCGCGCCGGCTGAACATGGATGGCAATTCGGCTCCCACTTGCCAGGTGCCTCCGTGCGTGGAAGACCAGATGGTACAGCCGAATAGGCTCTCGGTCACATGGAACCTGCGCCCGTCCGTGGATTTGGGGTCCGCCGCCCCGGCGGCCGGCAGTTCCGGCGCCACCCTGGGCCCGAACTCCTTCCAGCGCGGTAGGCTCGGAAGCCAAGACGTCACCCCAGAGGTCCATCCGCAGATCTGCTTCTTGCGGCCCAGGGCCACCCAGGCGCCGATGCTTTTCAGGTGCGGCCCAGGTGCCCAGAGCGTTCGTCAGACCCTCGGACCCCTGAGGAGCCCGGACTCTCTCAGACCCGAGCTCCCTCCCTCAGGCGGACCCCGGTTCTGGCCCTCCTGGAGACTCTCGTCCCTCGGAGCGCGGCCGTTTTAGACCCCAGGGGAGTCTGGGTTTGTCACAGCCCCAGGCCCCAGCTCCTTCCCAGTCCAGCTCTTCGGACCCCTAGAAGCCCGGACGCCCTCAGCCCGGGCTTCTCGTCACCAACCCACATTTCCTCCGCATTGGTCCCAGACCTTCAGTCCTCCAGGCTGACATCGTGTCGCCCCGGGGCCCTTTGGGGTGAGCCCTGAACCTCCTCAAGAGCTAGGCGAAGCCCAGGTCCACTCAGGCTCGAACCCACCCCACACCCCTCTCCTTAGCCTCTATGTTCCCAGTGGCCCTGGAAAAGCCTCCAGTTCCCTCTGCCTAGACCCAATCCTCACAAACCTCAGTTCCCCCTGTCCCCTTCCATTCCACAACCCCGTCATAGCGTCCTCGCAGGCTCCCACGGAGACTTGAGGTGGAAAGCAGTTTCGTTCAGAATGACCATGATTCGATACTTGAAAGGGAATATTTCCAGTCCTTGCTCCCCATCCCCCTTTCCAGTATTGGTAAATTTGGTGCACCACTGAGTGGATGAGCGTGTTTTATGTCTTTAAATATTTTAGGTCTTTTTTTAAAAAAAAAAACAAACAGGATTTGGAGGACTTTTGTGTGTGAGCATACTGACCTCTAATTCAGTTTTTTCCATCAGCTCATGCTTATGCTATTGTCGCAGTGCATCGAAGTCAAAAAAATGTAAATGGGAGATTGGGATGTTTGATTGTTCATACTATTGATAGTTTGTAAATATAAAAACATTCACAAAGCTATAGTTTCAAATGGGCTGAAATAGAAAATTCTGGTCTTTCAAAATGTTTTATCTTTTAAAAATTGTCTTATTTGGTCCTAATTATCAAAGTTAGTGTACACTTAAAGAAAAATCAAACAAGACAGACAAGCAAAATGAGTGGCCAAAGATAATCACTGTTAACATTTTGGTGTATATTGTTCCAGATCCACTCATAGATATGTGTTACAATATGCTTATACTTTTTTAAGAGATACATCACAAAAAGTTCACTTTTTAGTCATCTGTTTTTCCCCCATGTTTAATACACCATAGATGTCTGCTTCATACATGATTACATGTATTTTATTTTATGGCATACCAAAATTTATCCAGTTGTTTCCCTATATTACATTTAGTTTCCAAATTTTAGAAAGAAAATATAAACAATTATTTTTAAAAGGGCAAAAAAATTTAAAATTATATATATTTATAAAACCACTTCATGGTGTAACCAAATTATCAAAAAGCGAAAATTCAGTGCCTGGAAATATCCATTTTTGACCAAATTCCTCATTTTGACCAAATTCCTCATTTTGGCCAAATTGTTCTATTTTTACCTGGAACACCTGGCTTCATTTTACTGCCACATCCTATCCCAGCTTCCACCTCTCACCTTCCAGAGTCTCCGCTATTCACCCCAAACTTCCCTCACTTTTCTAAACTTTTCTCAAACCCTGTGCCCTTAGAATTTCCCTATTAACCAGCCTAACCTCTGTCCATACTATTCATTTTCATTTTTCCCTGCTCTGATTTGCTACCCCTGCCTCAGATCTCCCTTAGGCTTAGGCTCTAGAGCAAGTGCCTCCCACCTCAACCCTTCACAAACTGATCTCTCTGAACTCTACCCTACAACTTTTTACTTCTCTCTGCTAAGATCCCACCTCTCATCTATCTCATCTTGTATTTTCTGTTTAAGATGACTGCTCCTGAGTCCCTGTTGACACTTCTCTGTGGACTTCTCTAGGCCCTTTACATCCTTCCCAGGATGCTTTTCTTCTCAGCATCCAAGAAATACCCCTATAGCACACCTTTTCCACAAGAAGAAACCTACGGTTACTCCTTTGTTCCTCTGAAAATCAGGATATAGCTGTGCTTGTCCTAAGAAAGCTGAGGAAGCCTCAGCCACTGCCTCAGGACACCATCAAATCAGGCCCTGGCCCCAGGCATCTGTAACCTGTACCACCTTCCCCTCTCCCCTCTAGCTTAATGAATTCCACTGAAGCAGGAGTGAACAAACTACCCAAGAGCCAATTGTCCCGGGTGATTATTCGTGACAACCGCAGTGCACAACGGCTCTGTGAGATGGAGGTAAAGTAGCCACAAGCTTTTGCATTGGAGGGTGTTAGTGGCTGACCCTTACTCATTTTGTTCTCCTTATATTCTGGCAGGGGGAAGGGATCACAGATCAGAGATAGAGAGTCACCAGGGTGCTCTAAGACAGGCCCCATTTCACAGAGGAGGCAATTAATGTTAATACCTGGGGTTAATAACTTATGCAAGGTGTCATAGCTGTTCCTGGGCTGAGGGAGCCCGGGAGAAAGATCTGTGTCTCCTGGGTCTTGTGGCATTCTTTTTTTCTCAAAGCACAGTATCTCTCTATGTAGGGAATCCATGAATGGATTCTTACTCTCTCCCATACAAAGTCCAGGGTCCTAGAGCCTGAATTGGCAACAGTGCTCTCTTGTTAGTTTTTTTCCTTTGGGAACTATCCCCATTTTCCAGATGAGAACTGAGTCTCTTCTTATGCTCTCAAGGGACCCTGATTGATTAATTCATTAAACCTGTCTTTAGGGCCTGCTCGAGATAGGCACTATGTTGGGCACTAGGAAGAGATAAGTGAACAAGATGGAATCCAAGCCGTCCTCATTTCTTCAAGCAGAGCAGGCAGCCCAGAGTTGAGCTGCTGCTCCCTTCTTTACTCTGTTAAGCTTCCCTTCATGTTCAGGGTCAAATCTAGATGGGTTCGTGGGATTCTGACATTGAAGGGTTGGGGAGTCTTCAGAGTGGTACCAGATCCTCTTGAGGGCCACAGAGACCAAAAGAACAGAGACTTGGGTATTTCTCCCTCTGTTAAACTTCTGGTGGTGTGGTGTAGTGGACATAGATGGGCAGGTTTTGTGTGATCTTGAGTGAATCATGCTTCCTCCAGACTCCGTTTTCTCATTTGTACAGCAGGATCTATTAAGACCCCCTCAGTTGTAGCTGTTATGAACTGAACTTGAACTAGTCCCAGCAAAATAGAGAGTGACTAGTTTACAGAATCAAGGATGGATAGGGCAAGGTCGCCAGCATTTGGAATGACAGAAGCCAGGGGATGTGTGCGTGTCTTCCATATTCCCTGTCTCCTTTGCTGCGTTCTGAATGTTGGCATCATCATCAGGCTGGCTGTCCCAGGGCAGCAAGGCCATAGGAAACCCTGGCCTGTTGACCACACAGGAAATGGAATGCTTCTGCTGCTGTTTGACAAATCCTGGAGAAGGACTCCAGTTGGCCCCAGTTTGGTCATGGGCTCATCCTTGCTTCAATCACTGTGGCCAGGTGGTGTTGGGAATATTCTGAATGGCCCAGGATGGGATGGGACCAACACCAGTAACCAGTGGGAATGTTGTAACTCTTGCAGGTGGAGTGAGGATCTCTGAAATACTGTAACAGGAAACTCCTGAGTTGGCTTCATGTGTACAAGAGGGCTGTGCCATCTTTCAGCCATCCAGAAGCTTCCTTTTAAAGCTGTATTGAACCTTTATGTGTTTGATCCATTATGTATTATTACTCCCATTAAATAGTTTAGCAAGCTGAGACTCAGAGAGACACTAGCTTCACTAAGATCATGCAATAAATCATTGCAGAGTTCCAAACCGGGTCTGACTGACCAATGAGCAGGACATTTTCCCTCAAGGATAGAGACTGTCTTCTCCATGTTTATGGACCTGTAGCTGAAAACCTGGCTTATAGGATTCGAGGCCCTCAGTGACAATGTGGCAGTGTTTCTATCTCCCCCCTACCAGAAAGGGCTCATGTTAGGGGAAGAGGCAGCTTTGGTGATTTCAGTGGGGACAGCTAGAATTTAGTGTATTGGGACTCCCCTGAACATGCTCTAAGGACAGTGGATGACGGCTGGTACCCCTTCACCTGTAGTCATGTTTCTCAAGTGGTTTTGCCCCTCAGGGGACATTGGCATAGTCTAGAGACAGTTTTGGTAATCACAAGTGGGAGAAGGGTGCTGCTACTAGCATGTAGTGGGTAGAGGCCAGGAATGCTGCTAAAGAAACTACAACATGAGGGATAGCCCCCACCACAAAGGATTGCCCAGCTCAAGATGTCCAGTGTCGAGGTTGAGAACCCCTGATCTATGGTAAGTCATGCTCAAAGTGAAATCACTAACTCAGAGGCTAAAAAGCCTGCTGTCATGGGATACGCTAAAAAATGGTATATAAGTAGCCACTTCTCATGGCTGGATCATAATTATCTCAGGAATGTGATAAAAATATAGATTCCTGGCCCCCTAGTCAAACCCTGCTAGAATCCCTGGGTCTATATTTTTATCAAGCAACTGAAATGTTTTCTGGCGCTCAGCCAGGTTTGGGGAACACTGATGTGAACTATGTCATTTAGTGCCCATATTTTGTGTCACCCACCCTCCCTCTTTAACTCCTTGTGTCAGATAATCTTGTTAACGTTGACTGGCCTTTATGAAGAACTCCTTTGCTTAACCTTGTGCTAGGTCTTCAGATAATGTTAGTGCTTATCACAAGCCCCAGAAGAACTTGTTAAAAATGTAAACTCCCGGCCAGGTGTGGTGGCTCACGCCCGTAATCCTAGCACTCTGGGAGGCCAAGGCGGGAGGATTGCTCCAAGTCAGGAGTTCGAGACCAGCCTGAGCAAGAGTGAGACCCTGTCTCTACTACCGGTAAAAATAGAAAGAAATTAATTGGCCAACTAAAAATATATAGAAAAAATTAGCCAGACATAGTGACGCATGCTTGTAATCCCAGCTACTCAGGAGGCTGAGACAGTAGGATCACTTGAGCCCAGGAGTCTGAGGTTGCTGTGAGCTAGGCTGACGCCATGGCACTCTAGCCCAGGCAACAGAGTGAGATTCTGTCTCAAAAAAAAAAAAAAAAAAAGTAAACTCCCACTGGATTCTGTTTCAGAATGCCCCAAACCTCCCCATTCCTCAAAACCCTACTCCAATTTATATGCTAACCCCTCCAGGAAGCTGGTCTCAATATCTCCCTTCTTTGAACTCTGTGCTTTTTTTTTTTTTTTTTTTTTTAAGAGGGCTGTGTCATTTTCTGCCTTGCTTAGAAAGATCTGGACATGTGTCTCACCTACTGACTGCATTTTAGTTACTGCAAAGACCTGCGGCTGATTTTTCATTGCATCCCTTCCCGTAGCTAGCTCATTGGAATAAATAAGTGAATGAATAAGACATAGGATGTGCCTTCCCGGACCTTATGGTCTTATTGGAGACAAGACAGAAGTTATGTAATAGAAGAAATAAGTAGAATTCAATGTGATGCAGGGAGTGTCACAGACAATATGTGGGAAGCGCCAAATGATTAATAGGGATAGGATGATAGGGGTTACAGAAGAGGGGGAAAAACAAGATGTCCCCTCCCCTCACCCCCCATATCTTTCTGACTGGTCTTCAAATAGAGATGTTGTTTTGGTCAAAGTTAGGCTCCTAGGTGCAGACTGTCAGAAGGTGCTGTAGGGGTTATCTACTTAATGCCCACTTTTGACAAATAGGGAAACTGAGACTCCCTGTGGGTCAAGGTGTTTATAGAATGAATATTGGGTCCAGCTGACACATTTTCCTCCCCCATGTCAGCAGCACAGATGCCCCACTTGCTCTGAAGTGGTTTCTTCATCCTAACCTCACTTCTGTTTTTTGTAAGATAAGAGCTTCAGACAAGACCATGAAAAAGATGAACCACTTGCATGATCACCTGAAAAAAAAGTTCATTACGGACCAGCTCAGAAAGCTGGGGCGCTGGAAACGGGAATCCATGGGCATCCAGCAGTACTTGGATAGCAACCGCACGTCCCGGAGCCCGGGGAAACTCGAGTCTCGCAAGGAGAAAAGGCAGCCACCCTAGTCCTGGCAGAATGATCTGTCCCAGGGCCACAGTGATGCTAGTCTGAGCAGGGAGGAAGCAGAAACTAGCCACCCTACACCATCGTAGAACAATAAACTGAGACCAGCGGACAGCAGAGCACAAAAAACTCCTCAGCAATCCTAATATTCCTTGTCCCACCTGTCCCCTCTGTTCTGCTGAAGAAGATCCTGGCAGTCTCCTAGGTGCTCGAGTAGAAAAGAATGAACCAAGCCAGCTTCTGTGGTTAAGGCAAACATTTCGTGTCCATGTGTCTGAGGTGACATGCCAGGCCAGGTGTGCTAGGACCGTGGCACCTCAGATGGGAAGGACTTAGTAATGCTGCCTAGCATTCCAGTGGTAAAGAGGTCAGACAGACTTGGCTTAAGTGCTGTTTCTGCCACCCATTAGCCGTGTGACCTTGTAACCTCTCTGAGCCTCTGTTTCCAAGATTTGGCATGAGGATGTAAAGTGCTGGGTCCAGGGCCTATCATTCCTGATGGCTTTTGTCACAATGGCTCCAGTTGCCTTCTAGCCTTGCTGGTCTCCACTCCCTGTCCTGTCTGTTGTCCCGATTGTCCCCTGACAGTCCCCACGTTGGGCCTTTACATGTGAAGACCCCTGGTCTAGAATGCCTCTTCAGCTCTCCAGGGCTCTCATGAACTCTTTTCATCCTTCAAGGCTTATCTCAATGTCATTTCCTGCAGAGCATTTCCTGACCTCCTCCTGTCTCTGGTCCTCCCCTTTCCCTCTGCTGCCTAAGTCCCCTTGCTTGGATTACCTGTGGCGGTTTCATTCTGCCTTGCATGGAACCTGTTTGGGTATATGTCCTAACCCCTGATTAGATTGTATGCTCTTTGATGATAGGGACCAAAGATCCTCCAAGATTCAGTTCAGGACTCTTCTCTTTGATGCTTCCCCCCACTGGTCCCAATAGAAAAGGCCACTCCTTCTAGTGCTTTGTGTGCCCACGCCTCTGTCTCTGCACCAAGTCTTTGGTTGGCCAGTACTAGTTTGTACACTGTCTCTCCGATCAGGTTGTGAATGTCTTGATGACAGTGATGCTGACTTACTCATCTCTGTAACCACAATGCCTAGTAAATGGGGTAGTCACTCAGTGCTTTTTGGATAAATGACTATCTTATTTCTCTTTGTATTACAGCATCAGGACAGTGCACAGAGTAAGGGCCTGGTACATATTTGTTTAAGTTAACTGAGTCTCCTCATTTTACAGATGAGGAAACTGAGGCCCAGAGAGGTGGCCTGACTTGCCTAAGGTCATGCAGCAAGTTAGTGGCAGAGAATTAAACCAGGTGTCCTGACTCCAGTGAAGTGGTCATTCTACATCACCACAGCTGCTAGGTAAGGACCTTAGTCCTCTTGGTGGCTCTTGGAAGTCCTTCCTAGGATTTCTCCTCACTCCTCTCCCTCTTCCCTCTGGTCTCCCTCCTCCCACTCCTCTCCCTCTCCTCCCTCTCCTCCCCCCTCCTCCCTCTCCTTTTTGCCTTCAGCACTGCTGCCTAGCACCGTTTGGCATCCATTCCTTTGAACTGGATCTCAGCAAGCCCTGAGCCCAGAGGGCCCTGGGTCATGGGTGGGGAGACAGATGTTTATGATGCTTTTATTTTCCCCTGTTATGGTCTTCCTTTGAGGACTGCAGCCTGGTACTTTTCAAAGGGAGACAAAACAATCTTTTTCTAGGTTCTTGTCTATTTCCTTGGCTGAGCACAACTGATTAGAATAAATTAATTTGAATATTTGTATTCTTATATAAGTAATATGACCACATTTATAAAAAACAAAAAAACAAAAAGATAAAAAAATATTATCTCTTCTCTTAGCTCAACCACTGCTAGCATTTTGGTATATTTCTTACATTTGATGTAAAAATGGTCCTTTTAATCCTAGCACTTTGGTAGGCCCACGTGGGAGGCTTGTTTGAGGCCAGGAGTTCAAGACCAGCTTGAGCAACATAGTGAGATCTTGTCTCTACAAAAAATAGAAAAATTAGCTGGGTGTGGTGGTTTGCACCTGTAGTCCTAGCTATTTGGGAGGCTGAGACAGGAGGATTGCTTACTCCTATGAGTTTGAGGTTATAGTGAGCTATGATAATGCCACTGCACTCTAGACTAGGCAAGAGAGGAGAACTCTGTTTCAAAAACAAACAAAAATCAGTCCTGACTCATGATGGTTCGACTTAGGATTTTTCGACTTTGCAGTGGTGTGAAAGCGGTAGGCATTCAGTAAACACTATACTTCAAGTGCCTGAACAGCCACTCTGTTTTTCACTTTCAGTATTCAATAAATTGTGTGAGATATTTACCACTTTGTTATAAAATAGGCTTTGTGTTAGATGATTTTGCCCAACAATAGGTTAATGTAAGTGTTCTGTGTACATGTTTAAGGTAGGCTAGGCTAAGCTACGATATTCAGTAGGTTAGGTGTGTTAAATGCATTTTCGACTTCATATTTTCAGCTTATGATGGGTTTATTGGGATGTAACCCCATGGTAAGTAAAGGAGCATTTATTCTTTATTTTAACAAGTCCTTTTCCCTTTCGCATTGTACCTAGAGAGAAGAAAGGCTTTGGGAATCTTCCTGGAATCTTCAGGGGGCCTGCAGAGCAGCTCCATCCCCTTTTTTTCTCTAAACTGTCCCCAGGAACTTTTTACATCCTAGATCTCATTTAATGCAGCCTCTCTGAGCCTTACCTCAGTCCAGCCTGCAGCCACAATGCACCTTTCTCCCCTGGATGGCTAGCCTTGGCTGAGGGTCTTTGTGTCCCCATGGGGGACCTCTGGGTGTGGAGTGGACTCCTGGGTTGGAGGAGTTGGGATGTCAACCCAGTGAGTCACTTTATAAGCCACTAACTTACCTTTGATCAGGTGGACCTAGGTGTCCCATTTTTCATTAAAAACTAGAGGATATTGCATTTAAGTAGGGAACAAGAAGCAATGCAGTTCTTGAGAGGCCACTTAGTAATTGGGAGGGAAGAAGAAGATTGAAAGGAAGAAAAATTAAGGAAGAATAGAGGGGTGTTGGATGGGAGGATACTGTGGGAGAAATGGAATCTTGAAACTAAGGAGAGACTCAGAGATTCTTTACTTCAGTGAACACACATACCACCGGACTCAGTTCAAATGCTGTCTTACCTTGAAGCCCATTCTCATGATCAAAACCATTAGCATGTTAACATTCATTGAGCACTCATGATGCCAGGCACAAACTTCACCTGTTTTAAACAGGATCTGATTGAATCCTTCCAACAACAAAAATAGGTAATTTTATTTGCCCCATTTTATGGAAGAGAAATTGAGATTCAGAGAGTAAGAATCCTGCCCAAGGTTGGACACTTAGTCAGTGACAAAATCAAACCCAAAGCGTGTCTCACTCTGAAGCCCATCTCCTAAGGAAATTATAAGCTTCCTGTCCTTACCACTCCAGGTAGAAGTGGAAGGCCTGGGAGCTGGAGACCTCTGGAACACAGATCAAAACCCAGATCCATTCTTAGCCCCATGATTTCACAGGTGGTACTGTGGGAGCCTCAGCTGGAATGGAAGTTGCCTGAACTTACCTAGTTAACAGCAGAACTGGACTCAAACTCAAATATCTCTTCTCCCAGGTGACTGAAGAACTTAGCACCCATTTTGGGATGGCGAGGCTGTTAGGGAGATTGGGTTAGGGAGATGTGGATGAGGGAGATGCTCACCCAAGAAGTGGAAGGATGGGAAACAGGAGTCCTGACCGCTGCCCAGGAGCTGTGAAAAGATGATCTCAGCTTTGCCATTTGGACAGCTTTGCATATCCCTTGTGCCTGAAGACCTATGATGATGTAGGGTACTCTCTTCTAAAGAGATCAAATATTTTTGAGCATGCCTTCATTTCCTGCTGAAAATACATTTCATTCCTTCCTCCTCCACCACCAAATGCACTTCACTACTTGAGAGTACTTGGAAAAACTTCACAGTTTAAAAACCTTGCTGGATATACAGTGGACCTTATTCCTTCTCTTTCCAGAATTTCTCTATGACCTGGAATAAAATAAAGGTAACTTCTGTTTACTTAGCACCTATAACATATAAGTCATTTTATATCTTATCTCATTCATTTCTCAATACAATCCTTGTCAGGCATCACGCCCATCTTACAGATGAGAAAAACAAGGCAAGAAAAGGTTAAAGAATTTTCTCAGAGTCACTAGATTTGAACTAGGCTGTGAGATGCATAGGGCAAGCTCCTTCCATGCCAGCCTGCCACCCCAGTCATTCTCAGCTTCCGAGTGAGCACAGAGCTTATTTTCAGCCATTGTTGGCCAAAGAAACTTCTCGGTGAGGAATGCCCATGTTTGGAGCCTCCTGTTCATGGTCCCTGGGCCCTGACTCTCCTCCCATGGCTATAGCTTTTGATCACAATGGTCAGTAACACAGCAAGAAGGAGGCCTGGGATGAGGACTCATTCCTCTCACTACAGATCCCAGCTCCAGGCTGCCAGGCAGGGGCAGTGTTTTCGGAAATTGAAAGATTCAGAACTTGGTGGATCTGGAGCAGCCCGCCAAAGGGGGAGACAACTGGGATCAAAGGGGTGGGGGAAGGTAGGTAGCTGCTCCAGTTGCTGCCAAGAGTGATCCTAAAGTTCTTACATATCTGCCTCAGCCAGCCAGCCATCCATCCATCCATCCATCCATCCATCCATCCATCCATCCATCCATCCATGTGGCCCTTCAACACAATCAGAACCCAAAGGTGGAGGGACTGGTTTTCTTGTTTGCTGTGGTACCTCTGGCTTTTCCTGATCTGTGTGGGCAAGTGAGGTGACCTGCAGACTGGTAATGCCTCTGCCTGGATTCACCCTGATCCTGGGCAAGTCGCCTCTCCACTCTTAGAGTTGGGGAGCTGGAAGAGACCATAGAGCTGTCTCGTATAGATCACTTGTATTTTACCGATGGGTAATGGAGGCTGGGCATGGGGAAGTCACTTGCCAAGGTTAGATAAGGAATTAGTGGTGGATTTGGGACTGGATCCCAGGATGCTGCCACTCATTTGTAAAGTGGGAATGGGAATCCCATTCTCCTCACCTCCTAGGATTGTAGGGAGGACCCTATGAGGTAAGTGGTAGAAAAGCACTTTGAAA